TCTAAATATGTTAAACTTAATAGTCATTTGTTTTCTAACTAATTCGTTTTAAGACCAAGTGTCCTCAGAAATTTCCAAAATTTACAACTTTTCGGTCACTCTCGTCGAACTGGAAAAATTTCTGTCTTTATTACATTAATAATACGAAGAAATCAGTCTCCACTGTACTCGGCTAGAGATGGTTTAAGTAAAATTTCGGCTCTTTCACCAGGGTTTTGTTTATGTCCCCAATTCCCTAATCGCTTAATTATTTAACTACTTCTTAAGTAGAAATAAGTCGAAACCGGTTACTTTGTACTCGAATATTTGTAGTCTCGGAAAAAAAAAGTGGAAAGACAAATTTTTTTTGACAAAAGGATACATAAATCGTAAATTTAAGGAAAATAAATTCTAGAGCTTTTTCTGTATCTCGTGCATCTCTCTAATTCATTAAGTTTAGTTGTAAATGCTGTCAAAGTAACAGTTTATTTTTTAACATTGTACAAGAATTATACACGTTTTTTTCTACATCCCCTTAGAGATGGGACATACGAAATTGCAATATCACTGGTTTAACATTGAAATCCGTGAGTAATATAAAATCGGAGAGAGGAATAAAAATATCAAATATTTTAATGGATTTTTTAAAACTCCTGTCAACTATACAGAAAACTATCATAAAAACATACCAGTAAATTCTTATCGGTTGGGTTAGGTTATAAATCTACTCGTGATTCACATAATGGGGGGAGGGCGGCCAAATATCTAGCGGGCAGGCAGCTAACAGCCCAGAATCGGCCCTGGATAGAATTGGATGCGGTATACGTGTAGCATCCACCCGAGGGCCTAGGCTTCCACCGGCTAAACTGGGTGAGGTTGGTGCTCTGTAAAGCGCGTGCGCGAATCTGGCGTTTTGGATGCTGACAATACAGGCACTCCGCCACTAATATTCGAATATACAATAGCGATCTTATTTTTTTTACGTATAGTATAGAAATTTGTAATAAGATACATAATGCGGTTATAATAAAATATTGTGCGATTATTTTCATATAATTAAAATTAATATGTATTTATTTTTTAGAAATACAAGGGAAGCGGCGCATCCACCGCTTCCAATGACGGCACGCCACTGCACGGTTTATTTAACATCGTTCAGGGGAAAATTTTGAATCGAAATAATATAACATTCATTTCAAACCCGATGTTCATATGTAGTTAATCTGGGCCTCCTGCCCCTAAGCATTTTACTTCTAATCTCGACTTTTATCTATCTCACCCCTTTCTCAAGATTAAGAAAGGACAGACAGAGACAGACAAACATGGGACAACAGTTGGAATTTATAGGTTACAATTTTTTCAAATTGCAGCCCAATAATTTTTCTATTTACGAGAACATACTTCCTACGTAGTTTATACATTATATTGCCAAAATTTAAACACTATTACCACATAAAAGCAATTATTCTAGCATTTCTACAAGATTTTTTTTATTTAAACAAGTCATACGAAGTCTTTCAGAAGTTAAGGTTAGCTACTTCGATCACGTGCGGGATCATCACAACCCATCTAACACGGATCA